CAACAAAGTCCACGCGAGACATAACTCCAATAACTCTCAAACTATAGTGACATAAACTACAAATAACGTATATATTTTTTATAGTTTTCATGACAGATATTCTTAGCAAGTTTGATTGATATCTATTATTTTATGATTGAGTTATCGTGTTTACAATTGCCGAACGCTTGGATAGATGGGCTGGATGGGGTCCTGAGTCGCCCCTCCTTCCCTGAACAGAGAGAAGGGACATTATCGACGACTGATGGGGCGAGAGACTGTGTGATGACCAAAGGTTTATACAGTCATCTGGTCAATAATGTCCTTTATCCTGCCATGGCTTACTGCATCTGATTATAACACACGATATATTGACGTTGTTGAGAGGAGAGAAAGATATTTGTAGTGGTTGAATGTGGGTGCGCCAAGTCCGTAGACTTGTATATTAATTAATTCAATTTACCTATACAGTAAATCTGATTATGAGAGAGAGAGAGAGAGAGAGAGAGAGAGAGAGAGAGAGAGAGAGAGAGAGAGAGAGAGAGAGAGAGAGATTTAAACAGGGACAGCACAGAAATAGAAAGAGAGGGAGAATGTGTTGGGGAGAGACAAGGCATTAATTACACACAAGGGCATCAGCGATCATTCACCTGAATAATAATCACTAATACTTAACTCGTAATAATCTTAGTCTAGAAATATTTATCATAAAACCTGACTCATTTATAACATTAAAATAATCCCTCCTGGTAACCTCACACATATTTTCCCATTCTATCTATGGCATGCCTCCTCCCTCTCTCCTTTCCCTCTCATTAAAATTCAACTACTCATCCCAAGTGAATCTTATTGAATAGAGAGTGAATTCTATTTATTTTTTCGTAATTAATTTGGTTTTGAGTTTCCTTTGTCCCAATAAAAGACATATTTTTTGTGTGTATTTTATTACTTGCACTAATATGAGAATTATTCAAATCAGTGATGTATGGAAATTTGGGTTATTGAAAACTCTATTCGTCCTTTCATATAAATTACTGTCTACAGATAGTGACAGTGGGTTTAAAATATAGTTACACTATTTTTTTTCGGCTCGATTTCTTGTGGTTCTATAAACACATGTTGAAGGCCTCACCATCCTCAGTGTTCTTCATATCTATAAGTTCACCACAATTAAATAATCGTCTCAAGTGTAATTAATTTCACTTGAAGATTAAATATAAAACGCAGTTATATTTTCATCAGAATTTCTGATTATACTTGGCTGAGTAATTTACAAAATAATATTAATCATAATTTAATTCCATACGTTGGTATAAAATCAGTTTGTGAATTAATATTATTTGTTAATTATATAACATGAACTCGTATCATTTCTGCAAATTTTACAAAAACTGAAAAAAAAATGCAAAAAAGAAAAGACAATTTCGTTCTGCATGTTATGTAAAGAACCTCACCCTTTGTCTTAGTACGTGACTTTTGTGCAGTACAGGAAAATCTTACCACAATCTCTGTCTCTGTCTCTTTGTTTATGTATTTTCCCCTCAAAATTTCTACCTCTGTGTATCTCATCAATCATATTTTTAATTCTCCTTTTAATCTTTTTTCCTTATGCTTTACTATTTTTCCGTTTGTTTGTCTGTCTGTCTGTCTCTGTATCTAATGTCGAGTCATCTCATAATAAACCCACTTCCCCGCCCCTCCAAGCACACACACAAACATTATCCACCCAGCTGTAGACTCACAAGTTCTCAAACACAACACAACACAAAAACACCCAAAAGAACCGAACATAAGACACACACTTCTGAGACACCACTACCTGACCTCAAGCTATTCCCACCCAAGAAAATATTGTAAGTAAAAAGTATTCCCTCAGTCTCTTCTCTAATTTACATTTACATCCGTCGCCATTAAATATTTACAGTGTGTAAGTCTTTTGGTCTTGTCCAGTGTTGCATTTGGAGGAAAGAGGGAGGAAACACAAACCTGAGAGCCTCTGTTTATTACTGTGTCAAAGTGGATGACGTGGGGCTTGTGTGTGTGTTTGAGGGAGTGGATGAGGGAGGGAGAGAGGGAGAGAAGGAGAGAGGGAGGAAAGAAGAAGGAGGGGGGGTGTGGGAGGGAGGGAGGGAGTATGCATGGAAGGGAGTGGGTGCCGTTGTGGGGGAGGGGATGTAGGTGGGGTAAGAGGGAGGGAGAGGAGATAAGAGGGAAGGGGTGTAGAAGTGAGGGATTTAGGTGCAGGTAAGTGGGTGGGATAGAGTGAAGACAGAGAGTAGGAGAAGGAAGGAAAAAGTGAAGAAACGAGGGAAGAGGAGAAGAATTGGTGTGTGGAGGATGAGAAAAGAGAGAGGTAGACAGAAAGTGAGGGAGGAGGGGGAGAAAGGAAAACGAATGAAGAAAGAGTAATAGAGTTAACAGAGAGAGAGAGAGAGAGAGAGAGAGAGAGAGAGAGAGAGAGAGCGATTTACAGTAACAAGGATGGAGATATAAAGAGAAAGAGATAAATGTTCATAGACAAGGAAAAAAGAATCATTGGTAAATAGAGACAGTCAGACACACACTAGCACACATCTGAGGCACAAGACCATGACATTTTAAGGGACTCACTACGATACTAATCTGAACAAAGCCTAACCTAACCCAACATACCCTTACTTAACAACCTAACCTAACTTAACCTAACCTAACCTAAACTAAACTAAACTAATCTGATCTAACCCAACCCAACCCAACCCAGCCCAACCCAACCCTCTGTCTATTTACCTTAGTTATATATCTATCAGTCTATCCATTTATCGATCTTTCTACTTATCTGTAAATTGTTCCACTGACGTTAATAATTCATCACTGAAAAAAATAATAATAACGATAAAATAAGAGAAACATGTCCATACTATTCAGAGACACGGGAAGGTCTTGTTAATCTCCCCACCAAAGGGAATTATTTAGAGGGAAAATGTAATGGGCAAGTTGTCAAGTTTATCTTCGTTCATTTACAGTAATAATCTGTAAGAGCTTTCAGGTATGTAGCTGTAGATGGCTATAGGGAGGGGATAAGGAGGTTGGGAGTTTATCTTGTTGATTAGGGAGGGGAAAAGAGAGAGAGAGAGAGAGAGAGAGAGAGAGAGAGAGAGAGAGATAGAAGTAAGAAAAAAGAGAACAAGAAAGAGAGATATTGAGTGAGTGAGAGGAAGAAATAACGAAACGATAAAGAGAGAGGGTGAGATAGAAAAAGAGAAAGATAGTGGAAAGAGAAAAAGAGAGTCAGAGAGAAAAAACATGAGCTAAAGTGATACTAACTTGTTCATCTGATCAGGTAGATATCTCATTATAGATTGTGAGATACACCTCTCTCTCTCTCTCTCATCCGTTTTTCTGTCTGTCTGTCTGTCTGTCTGTCTGTCTCCTCGTAATTTCACTCCCATCCACAAGAACCATCACAGTAAATACATCGTAAATCCGTCCTGAACACACTGGACCCGAGCACAGACTGTGTTTTAGCGGACGATGAGAAAAACTCTAGAAATCTATACCCAAGATTTTTGTCTCTTTGAGTTTACCCATCACCCCTAAAATCATTCCTATTTGACTAAGCTATTCTAAAGTGTCAGATTCTTCTGTTCTTAGAGCGAATCAGATTTTTCCTTTAAGTCAGATTTTCCTTTAAAGCGAATCAGAATCTACCTTCAGATTTCCTTTAAAGAGAATTGGAATTTACTTTAAAGTGCACCAGAATCTTTTATTTACGTCGGAGTCTCTTTTAAACAGAATAAAAACCTCCTCTAAAGTGAGTCTAAAATTTTTCTAAACAAATCTTAGAGTTTTCATTTAAAGAGAGGCGATGCTGCATAATAATTAGTTAATATTCCTCTAACTTGACCCTGAACACGTTATTAGGAAAGTTCGACTCCCTTTGTTGTGAGTATGAACACGACACCACTCATCTACACCACTCACTTTACCACTCACCTCATCATCACACTCATCATACCACTCGTCATACTCTTCATACCATTCGTCATACTCATCATACCATTCATCACACTCATCATACCACTCATCACACTCATCATACCATTCATCACACTCATCATACCATTCATCACCAGTCATCATACTGGTCGTCACTCTCAACCATACCACTCATCACACACCAGTCACAACATTGTTCATCACCATACCACTTAACACTTGACATACCTTACAGAAGAAGAGAGGATCAACTCTCCCCTCTGACCAGTCTTACAGTCAACCCTTAGCACTGAGAAGACTGCCTGAGAGTGACTACTTTGTCTTGATATCTTGGGGTCCTATAATGCCTCCTTCCAAGAACCTCCCTGCTTGATGTTACTCAATGTCGTGTCCTTAATCCCTTTGCAGGAGAGACAATCGGTCCCCTCCTCACTTCTTATTCGAGAGTAACCTGTCTTGTAGCGTCCCCTTAATGATCTCCACAGTCTTATAAATTGCTCCCCGAAGGTATGAAGGTAAATGTACATAAAGCCCCCCCTCCCCCTCCTGAAGGACTGAGATCCAAGAGGACATTAAAGATGTAGGAGAGAGGTCATCTCTTGGCTACCACTGCAGTCTCTCTGAATAAGAAACAAGTGTTGTCCCTTTAGTACCAGCTAACACGTAACCCACTGAGCTGAATGTCAAGTCTTGTCAGTGTTGATGCTCTTATGTGTAATGAAAAACCTGACTTAGCAAACCATGGTCGACTCTAAAGTTAAGTTATATTTCAATGTAAACTTTTAATGGTAAAATAAAATTCTTAGTCTTAAATACATACTAGGTGGGTCGTGTCTTTGTCGGGCACCCTGTCAGAATGTAGAGCTCCAAAAACAAAAAGAAATTCCCGACCATAGTTGAATTACCATCACCTCCACCTTTCACACAACATTTTTATTATCATAATTTTCCTTCTAAAATGGATAGAATAACCATTTTTTCTCTTTAATTATTCCATATAAAAACTCCCTGGCCTTCAGAGAAAGCATGAATGAGTGTTTACATACCTTGAGCATGAAGCCTGACGGAGAGCTGAAGCAGGGGTCGTGGGGCGGTGTTCTCCAGCACCTGAGTCACGTATTCCTGCTGCGTGAACTCCACCGGGCCGCTCCCTACCAACTTGGTCACTGTAAAGACCAGGAGGAGGTTTAGTTCGTGAGAGTTGTGTTATGAAGATAATCTTTTGTCCCTGAAAATATGTTCCTATTTAGCCTTTTTTACAACGAGGGCCTGCAATGTTATTAGCCATTGTCTTGATTATATTCACTTAATATTTTGTGAAAGAAGTTGCGAGAGAGAGAGAGAGAGAGAGAGAGAGAGAGAGAGGAAAGAAGAAAGATATAGAGGGAGCACAAGAAGAGCAAAAGACACAGAAGAAGAAATAGTAGAAGCAAGAGAAAGCCAAAGAGAAGGGGAGAGAGAGATATAGAGAGAGTAGAGAGAAGAGAATAGAGAGAAAGAGATTAGAGAGAGAAAGAGATTAGAGAGAGAGAATGGAGAGAGAGAGAGAGAGAGAGAGAGAGAGAGAGAGAGAGAGTATATATCATAAAAAGCCAAACTTATGTTAAGCCGACTGTAAGAAAATATGGATGGGCGTATATGAATGTTTCCTAATAAGGCTCCGGCTAAACCTTTGGTAGGAGTTGGCCTCTTCCTATTACAGCAGCTTACAGGCAAAGTTTATACCTAAGTCCTGGCTGGCAGTATGGACTTAATTGGCAACCCCCCTCCCCCTCTCCCTGCATCCCCCTACCCTTCTCCTCCCTTCCCTCTCCCTCCCATCTTCACCTTCTCACCCCCTGCCTTCCCTTCCCTCTACCTGATTCCCCCCACTTCCTCCTCACCCCTCAATTCCTTCCCAATTCCTTCTCCTCCCTTCACCCCCACCTCCCTCCCTCACTCCTTCCCCCTCTCCTTCACCCCACCTCACCTACCCCCTTCTTCCCCCACCTCCATTCCTTCCCCTTCCCTCTTCCTGCCCCCACCTCCCTTCCCTTCCCCACTTCCTTTCCTCCCTTCCCTCTCCCACTCCCTTCCTTCCTTCTCCCACTCCCCCACAAAAAATTCTCCGGTAACAACATCAACTTATGAAGCTCTTTGTTTATAAAGCCACGAGGAAAACACTTTTTTTTTATACTCCTCATATTTTTTCCTCATATATTTTTCATCTATATTTTGGGAAAGTTTTGGCAGTCAATATGTACACTGTAGTAAATTAAGGTTTTATGTAAACATATATTTCATGTTTGATACGGAAAGTTTTGTTAGTTATATAAAAGGCAAAGTGACAGTAAGTTTGACATGACTGTTTTTGCTGGTTGTATCAATGTGTGGGTTTTTTTAAGGCTTGTTTGTTTATTTTGAAACTTTAGTCAGGTAGTTTATGTACAGTGATGACGTAAGTATTGTTTACATTTTGTGAAGAGACCCGCATACTGTTTACGTTTTCGTAGTGCGAGTCGGATTCATGGTGTCAGTGGGCAGTAATTATATTTAAAAAGGGCATCAAGGGCCAGCTAGGCAGACGTGTGTGTGTGTGTGTGTGTGCGTGCGTGTGCGTGTGTGTGTGTGTGTGTGTGTGCGTGTGTGTGTGTTTGTGCGTGCGTGCAAGGGGTGGTAAGAGTTAGTGAGGATGGTGCAGCAGCTATCTTTACTGATAGATATGGACATGATGATGAGGGGGAGCTGAGAGGGCCAGTGTACTGATGGTGATGGGGAGAGGGAGTTAAGAGGGCTAGTGAACTGATGATGATGATGGTGAGGGAGAGTTGACAGCGCCAGTGTATTAATGATGACGAGAAGGAACTGAGAGGGCCAATGTAATGAGTGCCTCTTGGTGAATGGATTTTAGTAACACAATGCCACTGTCGTTTACGGATCCATTGTCTTGTTCCACAGTAAAGAAAGGTGAGGAGAGAGAGTCACATAAGAGGTTGTAGGACCTCATTGACAAGTGTCGTGTAAAGGTGAACATTGACTAAGACTCAAGACTTTTTCCACTGAACAAGGACGCCTTAGGTCTTACACATTCTGCATCCCTATTTTCAATCCCTTTTTACTTTAATTATCACTTTCGTCTCAGTCACAGCTTCACTATCAATGTTTTGTAGTGTTTTCATGGTGGTATAGTTTGTTGGTAAATCCTGGTAGAGAGGAGGAGCAAGGGAAGACTGATCTAGGGAGTGTCGGAGTACCTAGATTAAATCTGTGTACATTAGGGCTAAACAATATCTCTTGAGAATTGAAAAACAAAATCTAGTCACATTCATATGTCGAGGCTCACGCGAAATATCTTTCAATATATTCGAATTAAAGTATTCATAACTCACACGAATACACGCACATATACACGAACGGACGGACACACGAACACACAGAAAGACGAACAACATTTATAAGTCCTCTACTACCACACGACGCAAGGCAAGAGCCTTAGGAAGGATATAGGATGACCTCAAGATGAGAAAAAATAGGTTTAAACCCTCATTAGACGATTTTATGATATCTCTTTACTCCCAGCTGCTATAACAAGCCGACCTCTCTCCCTGAACCCCTGAGAGAATACATCGTTTGTGTGTGTGTGTGTGTGTGTGTGTGTGTGTCTCCTCTCTCCATTCTTGTGTGTGTGTGTGTGTGTCTTCTCTCTCCATTCTTGTGTGTGTGTGTGTTTGTGTGTCCTCTCTCCATTCTTATGTGTGTGTGTAATAATAATAATAATAATAATAATAATTAACGGTTTATTGAAAAAATCGGCAGCCCGAAGCCTGAAAATATACATTGGACAAAAATTACTTATTACATACAAAGACATGGGGTAGGTGGGTCGTTTAACAAAAGCTTTCATTACTGAAAGGAGAAGGAACAATGATTGAACATACAAATTATTATAGTTTACAGTTGATGGCCCGGGCCTGGGCTGGTCATGGAGACACCAGGTGGTGTGGTATTCACGTGGTGCAGTAACTCGTCCTCGGGTGTTGAAATGAAGACCTCACGTGGTCATGGGGACACCGGGTGGTGTGGGGTGGTGTCATAGTACCTCGCCCTGCTGGGTGATGTTGTGTTATCTCATAGTCAGGTGCATAGCCGGCCAGCCCTCTGTTGTTCCCATGGGGGAATGATTAGCACCTCGTGGTGAGAAGACGGTGGTTAGTTCCCAGGGATGCTTATCCCACTGGTGGGTCACGGCTCTCAGTGGTACTGTCTAGTGCTGAATTCACTGGCTTAAACGCTGTTCATCAATGTTCAACACTGGTCCCACTTCTTTCCGAAACGAAATTGTCACTTTCGATTATGTTGATATCCCGGTGGTGAGGATGGGTCGGGGAGAGGGACTTGGGGAATAGGCCGAACATTGGCCAAGGGGGGAAGCTGTTCAGCAGGAGCAGCGCCTGAATAGGTCTCGACCCTATGGTAGTCAAGGATGTAGTGTGTGTGTGTGTTGGGGGGTGTCTTATTCACAGTGAAGAGGAATCGGACACTAATTTTGAAAGAACGGATTATCCCCGCTTCAGCTAAATCCCTCTTACACAATTGACAAGGACAGTGGAGAAAATCAGTGTCTCAAACATTTTCCAAGTTGAGACAGACAGACAGGCAGGCAGGCAGGCAGGCAGGCAGGCAGGCAGGCAGGCAGTGGAGAAAACGGAAGAGAGAAGAAGAAAGAAGAGTCGATGCATGTTTTATTATTTCCCGTCATTAGTATTCTGTATGTCTAAGAACGGAGAGAGAGAGAGAGAGAGAGAGAGAGAAATTCATGCATGGACAACTCCAAGTAATAACTTTATATAAATGTGGCATTGTATATAAGCTGACTGACAGATTATAGCCATTTAACCAAAAATAATTCAATCATATATTTTGATTTGTGGTTGAATGTGGGTGCGCCAAGTCCGTAGACTTGCTATGTTGACAGCAATTACCTAAGACTGTGATGTCCGTATCTCCTGTAGAATTGTGATAATTCTTCTGTTTTGCATTCCTCGCCCACTGGAAATTTACTACTTGTGTGGCATTTTCTTTTACTCTAATTCTCAGTTCCTGGTGAGTGTTATGCTGGGTATTTACATTTCACAGGTGACGGTTCCGAGTGATTATTTTATTGCATATTTTTCTCAGACTGGAAAGGTAATTGTTGGCGTATCACGAGAACTTAGAATTCTGGTGTAATTAACGTTAAGGCTCCTAAAATGTACAGAATTTGCTGCATTTATTGAGAGAGAGAGAAAGAGAGAGACACTACAACTCACCGTACAGTATTTTCTCCTAGGCCTTTAGCCAGCAACCACCACTCAGGTTCAGGTTCAGCACGACCCCCCGATCCCCCTCCCCCCCCCCCCCCTCCCCGACTCCTACGCCCCGACCCTAAACCTCGGCCCCTGACCCCTACCTCGACCCGACCTCGACCCTGACCCCCCGACCCCTTTACTCCCCCTGACCCTACTGCCCGACTCCCGACCCCCAATCCCCCGACCTGCCTGGTGTGCGGCACCTTGATAACAACAAATACGGTGCCGTTATTCCAAATCCGGATTTTGAGTATTTGCTGTAAACATATCTCTGTTAGCTCACATTCTCCCGTTAACATACATCAACTTCATGAAAGCAAAATATTATAAGAACAGACCCAAATGTTTACTGTAGATGGATATAAATTTAAATAAAATGAATGAATCTAGAGAATGATGTGTTAAACCTTCGTCTTGGGAAATCCCTGCAAGAGAATCTATGTTGTAACTCTAACATCAAGACATGAATCCGCCTGTCAGGTCAGGTTCACGGTTTCTCCAATCCGGATCTCAGATTAAGACGAGTCATTGTAAACAAAGACAGCGTTGTGTAATATGTGTGAGAGTTTGTGTATTCAGATATGTCCTTAATGTTACTTGAGTCGACGTCTGCTGGTGTGGGTTAGAGATATGAGTCAGTGGCAGTAAGTTAGGTCTGTTTTAAGATGATTTACGACAATATTAAAATTATATAACTTAATATATAATTTCTATATTAGAGAACTTAAGATCTTTATTACAATAATTTGTGTCTATATTAGAGGGATGTACTGCACAATACACCTATAGTAGTGATCTTGGTCTATATTAAAGTGATTTATGTCTGTTACATGATTTAG